TGTGTGTGTGTGTGTGTGTGTGTGTGTGTGTGTGTCTGTATATATATATATGCATACATCATGTGCATTTTAACATTTATTACTACCTCAAAATACTCATTCATTCAAATTCATTCCTGCTGCACATTCTGCCATGTTGTTGCTCAATGTCTCTCTTTAGGACATTGTAAATATTTCAATTACTTTTTCACTTTTGGTACTTTTTGGTGTACCCTTATTGTATGCTTTTTGTATTTTCTTGTTGGTTTGTTCTTTGATTTTTTTAGCGAGTCAAATCAGTTCTTCTCATCCTAAGAATTTCATTGTACTGTTAACCCTGTGTTAACCTGCATATGACAAATAAACAACTTGACTTGACTTGAGCCAAGCTTCCAGTTCAGACAGCCTCTCCTCCAAAGCTTCCAAATGACTACATTTTATTTCATGTATTATTACCACTAAAGGAGGAAACACCTGACACATGGAGCAAGTGAGAACAGAGGGAGCTGTGAGATAAGTAGCAGCCATGCTAAGCTAATGCTAGCAAGAGCTAGCAGATTTCAAATATACCAATAAAAACCAAGTGTTGAATGATAAAAGGTGTTTCAAGTACTATCCAACAGTAGAAAAACAATTGTACTGAGGGCGTTTGTTTGTGTACTAGAATGAAAAACTGTGCAAAAGATAGATAAATCCAGAAAACAAAAGACTACTCGAGTAAACAAATTACTCGAGTTACCGACAGAGAAAACAGGAAGTGACCCAACACGTCTCATCATGAACATGCAATGTCAGGAGTTCATATGGTCAGGAGGTCATTGTTCATGGCTGGGACATGACCTGTCATGACACAGGTCCAGGTATCCCGCTAACCCTAACCCTAACCCCTGTAGAACTTACAGAAACCTACAAAGATCATCCAGACTTCTATAGGCCTACAAAGATCTAGAAAAGCTCTTGAAGGACATCTAAGACATCAAACCCCTCTGATATCTCAATGAGCTCTACCAGGTTATACATTGGTCAAAGAGTGACATGTCAATTGTCTCCTCCCTCCTGATGACATCACAGGTTACACATTGGGTCAAAGAGTGACCAATCGATTAGCTCCTCCCTCCTGATGACATCACAGAAGTAGTTTGAATGAACCACAGTGTTCTTTATCTTTCAGGTGAGGATAAGAACGCTCAGCGCCACCTATCTGGCTGGGCCATGAGGAACACCAACAACCATAACTGTCAAATCCTGAAGAAGTCCTGTTTGGGGGTGGTGGTCTGCTCTCGAGGTTGCACCCTGCCAGATGGATCCAGACTGCAACTCCGTCCTGCCATCTGTGACAAGGCCCGGCAGAAACAGCAGAGTAAGACCAACCCTGGTGGGACCAGGACCACAGGTTCTTTGAGTCCACTCTGACCCCTGTGTGTGTGTTTCAGAGAAGGTGTGTCCAAACTGCTCTGCTGCCCTGGAGCTACTGCCCTGCCGGGGTCACAGCGGCTATCCCGTGACCAACTTCTGGAGGGTGGATGGCAAGGCCATCTTCTTCCAGGTCAGAGTTCCTCCTCTTGCTCCTCCTCACTTCAGAGCAATGACTGATCAGGTCTACACCCAATCAGAGGACTCCACCAGACCTGTTCCAGAGGGAAAGGTTTACCAGAGAGTCTGCTGGCTTTTCCAGATCTTAAACCAGATCTTCGACCAGGTCCTAAACCAAATCTTTGGCTAGGTCCTAAACCAGGTCTTCAACCAGGTCTTAAACCAGGTCTCTGACCAGGTCATAAACCAGGTCTTAAACCAGATACTAAAGCAGGTCTTTGACCAGATCCTAAATCAGGTCTTTGGCCAGGTCCTAAACCATATTTTTGACCAGATCCTAAACCAGGTCTTTGACCAGGTCCTTAACCATGTTGTCTTTGACCAAATCTTTACCAGATCTTTGACCAGATCCGAAAGCAGGTCTTTGACTAGGTCCTAAACCAGGTCTTTGACCAGGTTTTAAATCAGGTCTTTGACCAGCTCTGAAAGCAGGTTTTTGACCAGGTCCTAAACCACGTCTTTGACCAGATCCTAAACCAGGTCTTTGACCAGGTAGTAAAGCAGGTCTATGACCAGGTCCTAAACCAGGTCTTTGATCACGTCCTAAAGCAGATTGTGATGTTCTGGATCAGACCAGCATGAGTCAGATACCAAAATTAGTCTCTGGGCTTATAAACAGACCTGGATCAGGAGTCTGAAAAAGATTCTGAGCAATGACTGATCAGGTCTACACCCGATCAGAAGACTCTGCAGACTAGTTGTTTGTTTAGTTGTTTATCTTCTGTTTGTGCTCATGTTTACTGTTGTTGTTGTGGTCCTTCAGGCCAAAGGGGTCCACGATCATCCAAGACCAGAATCTAAGTCTGAAACGGAAGCCAGAAGAAGTTCAGTGAAAAGACGAGTCAGCTCGCCACCGTTCACTCCCAAACGACGACTCATTGACCCGCAGGTCAGCCCCAACAAACAAATAACATAACTTTGGTGTTGTTTGTTACGATTTCTTTGTTTACCGTTTGTAGTTTGCTATTTGTTTCTTGGCAGTCTGCTGGTTCTTTATTGTTTCCCATTTTTGACTATTATTTCTTTCTTGTTTTGACCAGTTGTTGTTATTGTTTACAGTTTATTTGTTGTTTACTGTTACAGGCTATTGGCCCCGCCCTTCTCTGTGTTGAACCAGCAGATCGAATTTCGTTCATTGAGCCAAGCTTCTCTCAGCATTACCCAGCATTCCAAAGCCCAGAGCCCTACTACAACCCCCACAATGCACTGGGAGAGCCCCCACCCACTCTTCAGAAAGCAGCCAACCCCAGACTGTACATGAGCCGACCGGGCTATGAGTTTCAAGGATACCTGAGCTCACCTTCATACCCTGTGACCTCTGACCTCTGCGATCCCAGGTAAGCCTCACAAAGACAACCTTAGACCACTTCCTGTGGACTAGATTCAGGTCTATTCTGCTTCAGTATGTATGACCCACATCCTGGTTT